AGATACCTTTCAACACTAAAGTCCTGGACGGGGGCTACCAAAACATTTACTATAAATAATAACTCTGCTTATGAGAAAGATCTACGCACTTCTTTCCTTATTCCTGATTTTTATTGTGAACGAAAAACTGGATGCGCAAGCGGTCAGTGGCTATGTGTTTGCGCCTTCAGCCGGCACTTATACAGCCCTTACCGGAACGACAACCAGTACAGCGACTGGTGATGATGGTACACAGAACGTTCCCCTTGGGTTCAGTTTCGTATTTGGAGGTGTTGCCTATTCCAACGCGGTTATCTCTACCAACGGTGCTATTAAGCTGGCTGTTGATGGCACAACCGGTTTCGGAGCCAGTTGGACCAACGCCCTTGGCAATGCTTACGGTGCACCCATTATCGCACCGGCCTGGGATGATAACAATGCATCAGGAGGCAGTGTAGTATATGTTACTTCTGGCACAGCACCCAACCGTACATTTTCAGTAGAGTGGTTGAATATACATATGGGAGGTACGGGAAGTTCAAGTACCCCAACAGCAACCTTCCAGGTGACGCTTACGGAGACATCTAATTCCGTTCGTATTGTTTATGGTACTGTTAATCCGCTTACATCGTCCACGATTGGTATTGGATTAAATGACCTGGTTTCTTTTTTGAGCGTCACTCCAGGTACGCCCGCTACAGCGTCGTCAACGGTAGCTAATAACGGAATTTCATCCGCTGCCAACTTAACCAGCGGAACGACTTATACTTTCTTGCCCCCTCCCCCTTGCGTGGCTCCTCCGGGTGGTGGTACTACACAATCAAGCGTAGCTTCTGCTTGTCTCGGTGTTCCATTCAGCCTGAGCGTAACAGGTGCCAGCTTTGGAACAGGCCTCACTTATTCATGGGAAACTTCACCCACGGGCAGCGATCCATGGACAGCAACCGGTGTTACTACCGCAGGGTATACAGTAGCCAGCCAGACTGCAGCCACTTATTATCGCAGGAAGATCACCTGTTCAGGCCAGGATGGTTATTCAACC